TCTCTTCCTCCCATGTCTGCTGCCTCCCAGCCTTCATGGTTGTATCTGTGTTTCCCCACCAGCCTTCACATAATTATCTTATAATTAGATGGTTTGGCAACAAATCCCAACTATAAAGCTAATATGTCAATGTCCATATCTTTATAGTTGGTAAATATAAATGAAAGGGATGTGGTGGCTCCTTGTATTACTCTTGACATTTCTGTTCTAAAGTTGGAAATTATTAGTAGTGTGATAACAATATTACTTAATTTAATCATTATGCCAGTCTAGAGAAGTAATTGTATACTGTCCTCATTAATTTGTAGGCAAGAAAAATGAAGTGTACAGAAACTATGTTACTTGCCTTGTGTTGTATGACTGATGAATAATAGTGGGGACTTCCAACTCAAGATCTGTACAACAAATTAAAAAAAATTAAATATGATCCGGTTTTTAAAAGGCTTATATTTTAATTAGTCATTTTAGTGGCTGTTGTCAGCTAAAATTTGAATCCAAATGCAAGGCAATGGCAGGTTCTTTAATGTGCCTTTCTTGATGGCAGCTCTTAGTCCATATAACCAGTTAGCGATGAATGGTTCCTGTCTCTTCTCTTGAAACTCCTGAGTGCCATGCATAAATGGCTCTCATCTCTGTTAACTCAGTTATCTCTGTGAACCCAGTGTAATCTTCTGTTCATACTTGATTATCATGCTGTAGAGAGCTGACTAGTTCTCCTTAGGAGCTTTCTTGTCTAGTTTTCCTTTTACTCATGTGGCAAAATAATTAAGGGTAGTATGCTTTTTAATGAAAACAATTTTTAGAATAGCTTTATCCTTTGATAATTTCATACATGTATGCAGTGTATCTTGGTAGTATCTACTTCAGTACTCCCCTCCTACCTGCTACACCTGGATCCCCTTTCTTCTTTTCCTCCTCTTTTTTTTTTTTTTCCTTTTTAAAAATAACCTCCAGGTGTAGTTAGTACTGTTGGCATGAGCCTTGGATGTGAAGCCATCCACTAGAACATTGGCAACTTAACATCAGCCAGATCCCTAAGGAAAAATGACTTTACCTCCCCCACAGCCATTAATTGCAAATAGCTCCTTAGCTGGGGTGAAGCCTTATGAGCCCCTCCCTAGTCTGTACTGGAATGTTGACTTGTTTGATTTTGTGCCAATAACCATAGTTCCTGTGCGTTCACGAGCCCTGTGGTCATGCCGTGTCCACAAGACAGCATTTCACAGCATTCTTCTGAGTCCTCCAGCTTTTGCACTCTTTCTGCCCTCCTCATCTGCAACATTTCTGAACCTTTTCAGGGTTGATATGTATGTCCTATTTAGGGCTGAGCACTCAACAATCACTCCCAGCTCTGTGACCAAGTTGGGAATCTCCCACTGACTGCTACTTAATACAGTAAAAAGCTTCTCTGACCAAGGGTGAGAAGAACTTTAATTTATGGGTGTTAACAAGTATTTACAAGGTAATTTGACTTCATGTCCATTTAGCAAAACAATAGTCACAGGCTCCATCCTATGACCTCTATAGATAAGGGCTTTTGACCAGATTTGTACCAGGCATGGATTCTCTCCTGTGGAACAGGCCTTGATTCCAATTAGAAGGCTGTTAGCCACCTCATAACTGTCAGACACTGCACCAGTGGGCACATGGTTCCTGACAGGTCAGTATTTTAGCATGCAGGGCCTGCCATGGAATAAGTCCACTGATTAATGTCATATACTAGTAAGCTGATCTAGCCAGCAGGGAAGAAGTTTCTAGGTCAGTTCCAGCTTGATTTTTTTGTTCTGCAATCAAAGTGTGTTGTGTCTTCAGCAATAGGATCTTGTCATCAATTTATAGTGTGGAAACAAGAATAATGGTAATTAATAGCCTGTGTTGTTTTGGGAACCTCTGAGGCCTCCCTGACTCACAGGGAGGTATCTCACACCTGTCACTGAGATTTTTTAATACTGAGATTTTTATTTAATAACTCATTTCTTCTTAAGGAAGCATTGACTACTGTCTCAGTTCAGGTTTCTATTGCCGTCAAGAGACATCATGACTACCACAACTCTTATTAAGGAAAAGCATCTAATTGTGGTGCTTACATCTTGAGAGGTTTAGTCCATTATCATCATGGTGTGACATGGTGGCATCAGGCAGACATGGTGCTGGAGATGGAGCTGAGATTCCTATGTCTTGACTGGCAGGCAACAGAAAGTGGTGTGTCTCACTGGGCAAGGCTCGAGCATATATGAGGCCTAAAAGCTGGCACCCACAGTGACATATTTCCTCCAACAAGGCCATACATACTCCAGCACCTCCTAATAGTGCCACTGCCTTTGGGGGCCGTTTTCTTTCAGACCCCCACACCTACCCACCCAAGATACCTCCATTTAAATTCATACTCCCACCCACATGTTTACGAAATATGAGTTTCTATAAGGCTTTTTAATGGATCCTTTGTTTTGGTTAATCCTCCATACACATTTCTTCCTGTTCTCCCAGTGCCCCTCATACCCATAATTTGCCTGCATGAATGTATGTACACCGTATGCATACTTGCATCTTGTGCCTGCAGAGGGTAAAAGGCAGCCTTGGATCCTGTGGAACTGGAGTTAGGGATTTTTAGGAGAACATGTAGGTGCTGGGAATTGAACCCAGGTCCTTTGCAAGAACAAAAAGTGCTGTTATCCACAAAACCATCTCTCTGGCACTAAATCAATTTTTAAAGAATGTTTTTTCTTTTCCATGTCATAGCTATAGAGTTTTAGAATCTCAGAGATGAAAGCTTAAAAAAAAAAACAAACATGAAAAAATCCAAACTGGTACTTAAAATCCATTCTCCTTATTCATTTAGTACCAGGCAATAATAGCAGTTAATCTCTATGCACGTCATAGGAATAAGAATTTAGTCTTTTTCTTCATTGCCAGCCATAAAAAACATACACAGTGTACTGTGTCCTACCTGAGGGGATTAGGAAGCCTTCCCAGAAGGAAGTGTCAACTAACTAAAGATGACAAGGAGTTGTTGAGATATATGAGTGGATGGAGGGCAGGATGAGTGGATTAGCAAGAACCATTGAAAAACTGAGGGACACTTTGTAGTGTGCTTTGGGAATTGTGGGTAATTAGCTGTTAAGTGTCTATGAGGGAGATAGGTTTGGGTAAAGAGATTGAAGAAGAAACTGAATTCTATCTGTGGCATCATAAGCCATTTTGAAGATTTTCCTTTTACTTTGAGCCATTACCCTGTTCTTTTTTCCCCTATGAAGCCTCAGCCTTTTATTTCAAGCTCTAACTTCCTACTTTACTTTCCTAAGATTTTGCTACCTTAGGAAAACCCCCAAGTTGCTCATTCCCTCAGAAGTGCCACTATTTTCATATCTACTATTTAGTTGCTGGGTTATTCTGTATTTTCATCTTAATTCTTGTTGGTTTTTCACTAGATGTTTTTCGTCAGAAGGTAATCATAGGTGGGTAAATGCATACTAATTTACTGATGTTTAAAATCTTAAGATCCATAATTTAAAATTGATGAAAAATATACATAATTATGGTACCAAATAGGATATTATTAGTGGTTTAACAATTATTGAAGATTTTTTACTTGGTTTAGGAGAGTCCTAAAATTTAAATTAGTAGTTTCAAAGAAAAACAGTCTTGGGGAAATCTTCTACAATAAATATTGAAAGTTCTGAAATATTTGTTGAAAAACAGAAGCTTAAGTAGATACATATTTCTCTCTTCATGGTGGTCGAAATCCAACACACTGAATTTTGCATATTTAATTCACTGAATTTAGCTTCATTTCTAATATAAAACAATGGCTATTATATTGCAGAAATCATTGCTAAGTATACACTGTGTTAAATATTGAGATTTCATGTACTTGTCATTCTTTAATAACCTTCTGAAATTATGTGCAATGTGGGTGCAGTCATGTTTAAGCTATCAATTCTGGTTAATACATTATATTTTACATTCTCACGAAATATATCATCCTTAGTTTTTCTCTCATTCTGCGTGGATAATATGGAATAAAACTGAAGAGAAATTCCCGGTTTTTTGTTTGTTTGTTTGTTTTTTTTTTTTTACGATGGATTTTACTTTGAAGCTAAAGCGGGCCTTGCTTTCCCAATGCTCTTGCCCCACGGCTGTGATTATAAGCTTAAATGTCCATGTCCATAGCACATCTAGCTTAAAGTTTTAAAGGCAGACTCTTTTTTTTTTTTTTTTTTTTTTTTTGAGATAGGTTCTCATATACTTTGGGCTGGCCTGAAACTTGCAGTATAGCTAAGAAGCATAACTTTGAACTCCTAATCCCCTGGCCTAATGCTGCCTGAGTAACGATGGGATTATAGGACTGCACCAACATGCCCAGTTCATGTGGTATGAGAATCAAGCCAGGGTCTTGTGCATGCTGGGCAAGCACTCTTGTCCATGGCTCAAAGAGTAGGCTTTGATTTTTTTTTTAAACCGTAGTTTGTGATTAGAAAATTCATGGTGTACATCAGACTCTGATAAAACCTTGCTTAAACCTTTATTAATAAAGATGATTTATTAGCAGTATAAGAAAAGAACAGAGAAATAACTTCATTAGCTTTAGCTTTAGCTACATTGGGAACTAATGTTGCTTCATTATTTAGCTATGGATTTAGAATGGTTTGCAGTTTAAGATGCCAGCCTATTAGAAGCTCAGGACCAGTACCCCAAGAGGGATGTGAGCATAGTTCTAAGAGTTAGAGCCTTGTCAAGAATATTTTTCTTTTGGTTCTTAAGGAAGGTTTATTCAGCCATTGTGTGAAATACATGAAGTGAGTGGGGTTAGGCAATCATAGAAGATAACAGTTTTGCTAACAGCTAAAGGACTGTACTTTTCACTGGGGACAGTCAGTGACTGAGATGACTACAAAGACATTGTGAAACTGTTTTGTAAAGATAGCAACAATAATGTTATACCTTTCTTTCTTTTTTCTTAAATTGTATATCTTTTCCTTCCTTCTTCCCCACCCTTCCAGAGGCTCTCCTTATAGAGAATCCCCTTTGGGTCATTTTGAAAGCTATGGAGGGACTCCCTTTTTCCAGGCTCAGAAGATGTTTGCTGATGTGCCAGACAACACAGTGATACTGGATGAGATGACCCTCCGGCATATGGTCCAGGACTGCACGGCTGTAAAAACGCAGTTACTCAAGCTCAAACGTCTATTGCATCAGGTGAGTGTGTAATAATTATTCCAGTTCTACTTTTGTAACTTGAAAATATATTGGCTTTCTTAAAAAAAAGTTACTTGTATTTCTAACATTTATAGTTTTGGGTAGAAACAAAGCCTATAAATCTTACATACTTTGAATTCATCTCCAACACCATAAGACAAAAGAGAAAGAACGGAGGACTCTTGTTAGAGATGAAAGGAAAGATTAAGATAGCCAGTACTTCTTTTATAAGGTTGCTGAAAGATTAGAAATTGTAATGGTTAATTGAACAGTCTGTTACCAGAAACATAGTGGGTATTCAGTAACTAATGTAGTTTCAGCTTAGTGGCAAACAGGATTAATTTGATTTGTGTTTGAGACTTTCAGGATCTGTTTTCTTTAGACTAGAGTCTAGACCCATGGTAGAAGAAGGGTATGAGCAAAGTCACAGGATACACTGATGGAAGGTCTCAGTTTATGATTCATGAGTACCTTCTTTGTGGTAAATATTTAGAATTAGCAGATAAACAAAAAATAGAGTACCGATTTTAAACTGTAGGTAGCTTTTATGTGATTTAAAATCTGTCTTTTTGCATTTGATATTCTAGCCTAATTTAAAATCATAGATGAGAAAGAACAGCCTGATCTCTCTCAGTCTGCTGTCTGGGTCATTTTTCTTAGAGTTGTGTCCCTTTGCATCATATGAACAGGATCCAGGTTTTAGACTTATCTGTCTGCTCAGTAAAGGTTAGCTGAAAGTAATGTAAGGCTCCAACAGTTGACTGTGAAGAATAGGTTTTTCCCTGCCGATCGGTCCCACTGCTATGCCAGCCCCAAATAACACATAGAGACACTGTATTAGATATAATTCTGTTGGCCTGTTACTAGCATTGCTTATTGGCTAGCTCTGTCTTAAATATTATCCCATTTCTATTAATCTAAGTATTTCCACTTGGTCTCATCTTACCGGAGAGAGGGCTGGGACCTGTGTTCTCTCAAGTCTCTGCATGTTGATTCCTCCCTACTACTTCCTCTCTCCTCCTTGTCTTCTAGTCCCGCCTATCTTGCTTTCCTGTTGGCCAACAGTGCTTTATTCATTAACCAATATGAGAAACATGTTTACAGAATGACATCTCCCATCAGTTAGTTGACTCTGGGAGGAAGAATTCTTACTAATGTATGTTGTTTCATATTGGTCCTAGCTTTTCTTGACTTCTGTGGCTATTGAATAAGTATTAAAAAGAAGCTTTTGTGTGCTGGATCTGGGAAAAAGAGGGCAGAGAGTATCCTGCAATGCTAGGACTCCTCCTAAGCATACAAGGAGACTATGGTGGAACTGTGCAGACATAGAGATTTCACCTTACATAAACTGTAACTAACAGGCTTTGCTCCATAATGTTTCACCGCTGGCTGTTCTGGGAGGAAGAGGTTCTTTCTGGTCATGAGCTTTTGTTTCAAAGGTACAATATGGTAAAAAAAGGGTAGGGAACAGCTAAAATTTATTAAATGCCTTTTGTGAGTTAGTCATTGTTTTAGGGTATATTCCTCAGTGATAAAGCTTTATTAAATATCAGCTGACAAGATGAGGCCATGTTCAATAATGAAGTAAAGATGATAACTGTGGAAAGAGGATGAGTTAACAGCTGGTGACCAGTATCATAGGGATTATCTTCTTTGAAGGCTTTTATGTGTGTGAAGCTGTGAAACTCTTGAGTGTTCTTTTCTATCCTTACAGTCACCAAATGTTAGGGAGTTCACATTGAACAGGTGGATTTATTATTTATGGAGTAAAAACAAAATTGTGAGATTAAAATTGCAGAATGTCTTTAGAGTTTTCTAGTTACAAAATAAATTAAAAATTGGCATCTAAGATTTCACATAACTTCTCTTCCGTCTTTAATTAAAAAGTCTCATTATTATTGTATAAGTAATAGGTATGTGCCTGTGTGACTGAGGGATGTAGGTGTGTGACCATGTCTCTGAGTTGGCTCTGTCCTTATCGTGATTTCAGGGGTTGAATTCAGATCATCTTTACCTCCAGAGACATCTTGCTGCCCCTTTTAATTTTACTAATAAAAAAAGTCATGAAGTGTATACATAGTTTTTAAAAGCTCATGTACTATGTGAAGGCTTAATGAAAAATACAAAATAATTTTATTCTCTTTTTACACCTCAATCAGCCTATCAGCCTGTTGTGTAAACAGTTTACTGACTATAGTTCCGTAACTTTGTTATACAAGACTTCCTTTTGCCACAGTCTGGAGCTGTATCCACCTATGTCACTGGCTTCCATCACTCAGTCCCCCCTCCTAAAATTCCAGCCTCTGTTAAAATAGTGCCACAAGAGAATAAGATCTGATTGCAAATATGAACCCATGTGAGATACTTTGGATTTGGTCTGTAACATCTGGACATTTTAATTTTATTTATTACATACAATTTCATTAAATTTTCACATTAATATATTCTTTTTTGGTTGGGGGAAGCAGACAGGTTTTTTCTTTGTAGCTTTGGCTGAAAACTCACCATACAGGTCAGGCTGGCCTTGAACTCAGAGATCTGTGTTGTCCTTTTAATTGTTGCTTCCTTGTTTTTTTTTTTTTTTTCCCTCATATTTTACATATCATTCCTAGTTCCCTCTCCCTCCTATGCCACACCACAACCCCCCTCCCATTTCCCACCCACTCCACAGGGAGGGTGATACCTTCCCAGAGGGATCCATCAAAATCTGTCAAGTCTTTTGGAATAGTGTCTAGGCCCTCCTTCCTGTCTCTAGGTTAAGGGAGTATCCCTCCATGGGGAATGTGCTCCCAAATCAGCAACTACTATCAGCAACAAGCCCTTAGGCCACAAGAGCTGAAGCCTGAGGGAATTCTGTTCTTCCAGGCACTTTCAAAACTAGGAAACACATAAGAAGACAGTAAGAAAGGAAAAAAACCAGAAAATGTAGGTTGGACATTCTTAAGAAAAATATTGAACTCTGTTTTATTAATGCTCTAAGCAGAAGGTTTAGAAAATAAGTAGTGAGAAAAAAACCCAGGGATTTTTTTTTTTTTTTTTTTTTTTTTTTAATTCATTGTCTTTGTGTCTGAGACTGATGCCCATGTCCCTTAAAGGACAGTCTCAAAAAAAAAAAAAAAAAAAAAAAAAAAAAAAAAAGTGTGTGTGTGTGTGTGTGTGTGTGTGTGTGTGTGTGTGTTTCTGGGTGCATGTATATAAATGTACCATGTACATAAGTGTTTAGGGGCAGACAAAGAAAATTTTGAAAGCAGCAGTATCCTGGGTGGTACTCTGAATTTAGAACATGCTGAGTGGTTACTTCTTGGTGGCAGAAAACCAGAAATAGGGGTTGGCAAGGAAGGATGAGGGGTATGGCTTATAATGTCAGTAGAGACATTACAGTGAATAAAATAGGACTAAGCATGAATCAACTCAAAGAAAATGTTGAAGGAATGCATAAAAAATGTAGTAAAGTGTTACTAATAAAGTTCATTTTTTCTGAATTTTACTTCTTTTCCAAAATTAAATACATAAGCATGAACATAGATGGTAAAACTTGTCACCACACAGTTCTTATTACTCCAGGAATAAAAGTATATATGAACATCACATGAAGACTATATACTGTAGGGGGTCTCAGACATGTAAAATGTGAAACTTCTTGATAGACAACAGTACCCAGGTTGAGAAATGAAACACAGCCAAGGTCCCAGTGTGGTCCTTTCTGGTTGAAGACACCTGCTTAAAAGCAACATAGCTTTCCTTATAGACATTTTATTTGCTGTTCTGCCCCGCCTCCTTCAGCTTCTTTTGGAGATAGGAACTCGTGCCGTTGTTTCAGAGCGCTCCATCTTCTCTGGCTTCTATTTTAGTATTAAAGGTCAATTTTTTGTTTGTTTTTCTGTGACAAATGTTCATTTCTAAAATAATCCTAGTGTAGATGATGCCAAAGTTTTTCTCTCTAGTGCTCATTCCCTCTTTCCTTCCTTTTATTTTTATTAATCCAGAGCCTTGTCTTGCTTCAAGTCCTCAGTGCTAAGGGGTCTCCTACCCACTAAGTAATACTAGTATTTTGTTTTCCTTGAAGTATTGGTACCATTTGGTGGGTCATATTAAAGTATGACCTTGGGATATTGATAGGATTAGTACTGAAACAGTAAGTATATTTCAGGAAGAATTGACCCTTTGAATAGCTCTGTGCCCATGAACAAGATATGATGGTAAGATGATTTAGTTCTTTAATTTTTTTGAGCAATATTTTTATATTAATTTAGTTTTATTAGGTTTACTTCTCAAACTCAATGTTTTATTGCTGTTTGTAAGTGCTAGCATTTTTTCCTTTTTTAAAATTCAAATTAAAAACAATATTATTTTATATATCAGTCCCAGTTCTCCCTCCAATCCTCCCATGCCCCCCCCACTGACCCCCATCCTATCCCTCTTTTGCTCCATAGAAAGGGTGAAGCCTTCCATGGGGGAATCATCAAAGTCTGTAACATCATTTGGGGCAGGGCCTAGGCCCTCCCCAGTGTGTCTAGGCTGAGAGAGTGTCCCTTTATGGGGAATGGGCTCTCAATGTTCATTCATAAACTAGGGATAAATAGTGCTACTATTTTTTGTTTGTTTGTTTTTCCACAGAGACAGGAGGTGTGTGTGTGTGTGTGTATATGTATGCGTGCATGCACGCATGTGCATCTCTCTCTCTCTCTCTCCCTCCCTCCCCCTCTCTCCCCCTTCCTCCCCCTCTCTCTCCCTCTCCCCCCTCTCTCTCTCGTTGGTCTTAAACTTACTATGAGGACCAGACTTGCTTTGAACACATGATCAATCTGCCTCAGTCCTGAGTGCTAGAATTTCAAGAATTTTTTTAAGATCAGTAAGTTTCTTGAAGTTCATGAGGTAGGTTCTCTGCATCAAACCAAATATTACAGTACATTTCCTGCTAGCAAGGGTGTGTTCAAAATTACTTTAGCTATCCAGGAGCTTCTGTGGTTTCATATACATTTTAGGATTGGTTTTACTAA